ACGGCCTGAGACAATCCTGAAAATGAAAAAGGCTGCAGCTTGCTTGGAACCACGTCTGATTGTCCTCCTGTCAAGGGCCAACACTGGTCTGGTGGTGGAGAGCAATTTCACCAGGTCGCCCTGAGGTGACCGGCTAGGCTGGGTCAGCCATTTTCTGACTGTGCCATTTACTCGCTCTTAAAATGCAAATGTGCTCCCTGGCCCCGGAGGAGCACCTTCTGCTGAAACCTGGCATTCAAAGGGGATCCCTCTGGTGGATTTCCTTTTTCAGAAAGGGTGAGATCCTCCCTTAGTTTATATGCCCGCATTTGAAACTTGATGTCTGTTGCTGTTGGTATCATATCTTCTGCTTCTTTAGCACGACCGGCCATTGACGGTATGCCTTTTGCATTGCGTTTTAGAATTACTGGTGTGAAAAACCCAGCTGTTGAAAACCTTTTAAACGCTATCAGTAAAACTGATCAACAATGTCTGAATGAAAGTTAAGAGCGATATTGGAATGTTTCCATAACAGAAGTTTAAATTGCAATGAATACAACTGTTGAAAGACAAACAGGCCTCTGCCCAGCTGTGTTTGTAGCCCAAGCACTGAGCTGTTTGGAGACCACACATGCAACCAAACCGCCTCCGTTTCCCAAGCACATTGTGGGCTCTCCAGAACCCGGTGGCTGATTCGCACCTCTCCCTAAGCCTGGCCAAGCTAAGGATATGGCACAAGCACTTCAGAAATGATTTTAAGGAGGAGTCACAAAGCGAGCTGAGTCACAAGCAGGATGCCTCCCCTTCCTCTCTCTCTGGAGGCAAGAAATGCCGGGTCCCCCTTCTGGGGTGATGGCCGTGCCGCTCCGGTACCTCCGCTCTTCAGCCTGGGCCAAACCAGGAAGGGCCACAGCATTTAATCACGTAGAGAGCAGTCTGCAAACTACCAGCTGAGGGCCGCTGTTGAGGGAGGCGCCTGACTAGGATGGCTGAGGACTGGAAGTGAGGGGGTCCACATCCGCTGGAAATGACCCAGAAGTGCCTCTCTGACCTGCTCGCTGCGCTGCCGCTTGCCCAACTCTGCCACCGATGGAACGGGGATGGCGCAGAACAGATGTTATGCCCTTGTGGCTGCTCTTGTGGCTTCATCTCCCTCGTGGGCTGCCAGTCAGATGAAGGCAATGCCATGGGAACGCGGCAGAAAAAGTGGTTGCCAGGGCAGGTTTCTGCCATGGTTGGGTGAAAATGGGGAGAAGCTCCCAGAGCAAAGCTTCAACACGGCCTGGAGGGGCATTCTCTGCTTAACCGCCCTCCCTCCCAGGCACATCTGAATGCCCTTCTACCGTGGGGGCGAGGAAAGGAAGGTTGGGCTGCTTGGGAAGTTGAAGGGGAGAGGCGGCATCGCTCTTAAACTCCCATGAGTGAACAGAAGGGAAATGGACTTGCTGATAGTGATATTGAAGGAGCCAATGGAAACGAGGCCTCCTTCGTTGGGTTGAGGTCCGTAAAATCTATAGATAAGAAGCATCACAGAGGGCCTGTAAGCATTTCCTGGCGCCTGTTACCGTGAAGAGGCTCTACATGGGGGTTGGCTTTGCAAAGTAAGAGGCTGTACTAGTGATCCTGTGCGTTCATGCTTAAGACCCAAAACGACCTTGTTAGACCAGTCCAAGGGTGCCTGTCCCACCTAAATGCCTGCTGCAGCCGTGCCATTTGCTTGGATAACATCTTGGAACTTCTCCCACCTGACCCAGCCAGGGTGACAGCTCCTCCTCCCCACTGCCACTTGTAATATGCAATCAGAGGGTGCCTCTCAGCTCCTGGGGGAGGGGCAGCTTTTGGCTGCATGGCCTTTTGAGTCCAGTGCATGCGGGCCATGGAAACTGCGTCCCCCAGCTGGCTGTACTTTCCTGGCCTCCTCCAAGGAAGCTGGGGTCAGCTGCGTGAATTCAGAAGGTCAGCCCCTGCCCCCAGGTTCAGCTTTGTCCAAGGGGCCTGACTCTGGTCAGGTTATTTGAGCCCCCAGAGGAGGAGGGCACTCTGTCCTTTCTCTGGCCCAGGTGGTCCTTGCAGGCGAGGGTGGCCACCGCCTTTCCCAGGAACCACCGCCCGGTATCTGACTGGCAAACCCAGGCAGGTCGTCTTGTGTAAGATTGCTGCAAGGCCTGTGGGAGAGCCAGGATGGCCTCACCCTGCCGCTCTACCAGCAGATTGCGAAAGTGGCACTGCTTCTTTCTTCCTGCCTCCAGTTTTCTGGGCCGCCTTCAGCTCCCTGCCCCCCCCCCGCCAATTCTTTATACCATCAAAGAGCCTTCCTTGTCATCCCCACTGCTTGGTTTCCCTGCCCTGTTCTCAGCCAGCCGAGCCTTTGAAGGCAATCCCTGCAGAGAACAGTGGCACTTAGGGCTGAATCACGTCCCCAAGGATTTCTCAAAATGGCCAGCACAGAGATGAGCACCCAGGTTACCTTTGCTGCAGCTAGGAGGAAGTGTCTGCGGGACATTCCCCTCTGTCCTGGGAGGAGTGGACCTTTTGTCCAGAAACTGCTCCGTGGCAGTCAGCTCCAGGCCATGCTTCTGCCAGGGGGAAACCCACCCTGAGGTCATTGCCTGTGCTGGTCGAACTTGCTCGGCTCCTCTTTTTGCAGGCCACAGCAGAGTGCTCCTCTTGGTCCCCAGAGAGCTCCAGGGGCCCCTGCAAGCCTGCTGCTCCTCAGAGTTCAGAGGGGAAGGAGCCCAGAGCCGGGAGACTCTAGGGCAGCCCCGCTGCCTTCTCTGGCTGGGTGGCTGCTTAGCAGGAGAAGCAGAGCTGGGGAGAAGCCCCACGGAGGAGGAGGAGGAGGAGGAGGAGGACAGGAGCCCTGGAGGTTCTTGCCTGGCTAGCTCTTGCCTCAGGCAGCCCTGTCTTCCTCTGCCCCAATGGCCTCCCCTCCTGGGTGCGCTCCGTCTGGGAAGCGTCATCCCGAGGCAAGTCGCCCTGCCTCCTCCCAGGTGAACTCTGATGCGGGTTCTTCTCCCCGTGGCCCTGAGCCCTTTGTCTGCCCAAGGCCGGGCCTCCTTTCTCGAGGGGGCCCCCAGGAGCTCTCTTTCCCCTGGCCGCAAATAGGGATGTGCGTCTGAGTGGAACTCTGCCCAGAAAGTCTTCAAGCATTTCCTCTTTCTCCCACCCCACACCTCTTCATGCCCTCACCCCCAGAGCACGACTTTGGGGTGCACAGCTCTGCCTCTCAGCAGGCTCTCAGGCATCTGAACCCCTGGAGTGACTGGAAATTAGGAAGACAAGAACCAGGGAAGAACCCACCTGAAGCAACCAACAATCACGATGAGGACCAAACAGCTCTTAAAACCTGAAACACTGTTTACTCTTCAACACCCAGCTGATGCCTGCCAGGCAGCCCACACTGAGAAAGGCTCTCAGATGCCCCATGGGTTGGGTGGTGCCCTGCCCATCAGCCCTCTCTGTCTGGGCCTGGCGTTTGGGCGGTCTGTGCTGCAGGGGCCTGTCTGTGATTTACAGGCGTTGTATGGGGGGGTATGGGGGAGGAATCAGCAAATGCCAAGGGCTGCCCTTCTTGATGTTGTGCTTGGGCTCCTTCTGCCCAGGCAGGGTCTCCTGCTTCCCACATGGGGCAGAATCTCAGCTGAGCAAACGGGGACCAGCAGAAGCCTTCACTTAGTCCCTTAATTCCTTGCTGGCAGCAGGAAGGAGAGCCCCTTTCCCTGGGTGGGGGAGCCCCTGAGGCTGTTTCCCATGAGTCCTTGCCACATGGGCGGCTGCTGGCAGCTGGGGTGGCCCTGGGGGAGTGGCCAGGCCAACCATGCCCTCCTTCCTGCTCAGGAAGGAGAAACTGGCCTCCAGACAAGACACCGCTCTTTCTGGCTTGGGCACATGGCCTGACCCATTGGTGAAAGTCGGGCACAGTCACCTCCTTCAAGATGGCAGCCTTTGCCTTTCGTGTAGCGCAGCTGGTTGCCTCCAGAAGACACCTCTCCAATCCATGACAAGTGCCATGGAGTGGGGTATTCACACAATACAGCTGACCATTCAACGTTTGGCTCCTTTCTGGTTTTGGCAGCTTAGCAGCCTTCTTGGTTGCGTGATAGTTCAGTACCTTGTGCAGACTCAGAAAACGGATTAACTCAGAGAGCAATGAATGGGAGGAATGTGACTGTAAGACCTCGCACCTGGCCAACTTGATCCAGAGGGCATTAAACTGAATTCTGAATCCATTGGCAGCCCTGAGCAGAATTTATGTGGAAATCTGACCTTGAGCGGTTACCAGTGGATGAAGCTTTCAGAGCTAATGGCTGTCTCTGGTAGAATAGATCTGTGGGAGGGGGATGAGCATCTGCAGGGGGACAAGGGGGCAGAGGATGATGGTGCAATGACAGATCTTGCAAAGGCCATGACCTGTGAACTTACATCAGATGTCCTGATGTAAATACATAATTGTGGCATTTGCGAAGTTGCATCATTGTGCATGCGCTGTCCTTCTGAGTCTTTGTGGTTTGCCAAGGGTGCTGCTGTGGGTGTGTGTGGGAGTGATTCCTCATGAGAGGTGCAGCTCTTTTGACTGAGAGGGGAGGCAGCGAGCTTGAGGTGGCTCCTTTCAGTGCGGGGGGCAGGCAGAAATGGGTGGCCAGCCCTGGTAGCTCCTGCAAGGCGCGTTAAAACACCTGATCAGGGAGCTGTTGACCACCGGGGGGGCAGACTCCCCTCTTGCCTGGCCCCCGCCCTTCCCAGCCATGACACTGTTGCTTGTCTCCACGACCACAAACAAGATCTAAAGCCATAGCACCGATAGCTCTGCACACGGGAGAAGCCCTTTTGGATGTGAGAGAAAGCGCCGTTTGCCCAAGAGCACCCTTTGGGAAGGCTGAACCCCACAGCAGCCTTGGCTGGTGCAAGAATGAGCTCTGGCTGAGGGGAGGCACCTGTTGGGGTCCTGAAGGTGGTGCAAAATCCTTCCCTCCGGCCCAACCCAATTCCCCACGGAGGGAGCAGAGAGGGACGCAGGCTGCTCCTTCAAGGACAAGTTTATTAAGCTGCTTTGGCCCTCCCTTCCCTTCTCCACGGCTGCGTTAAGGCACTCGCTGTCTGCTGTGCACGAGCCGGCCTGTTCCCTCCCTCTGGCTTGTCGCTGGGCATCTTCCAGACCGCCCCAGGGCTTGGGGGCTGCTGCTGCTGCAGCTGCAGGAAACGGCCTTCCAGGGAGGGGGCAGGAAATCTCCCCCTTCTGAATGCAGCCGGCATTCGCAGGGCTTCCAGAGTAGGTGAAAGGTAGCCGGTCAGGCGGCGGTCTTAAGGTCAGCCACTGCTCCTCCTGCTCAGGAAGCTGGCCTCCCCGCCATGAGCCAGCTTAGATGCTTCCACCTCGGCTCCCCCCGCCCCGAGGTGCCCGGAGGTCTCCTGGACCAGCCGTGATGGTGCAGCTCAACAGCCAGGGAGGCTTCCCAGCTGAGGGAGAGGCAGCTCCTGTCCAGGGCTCAAGGCCACGGCCTGGACGCCGCCTCGCCCAAGGGCCCCGTCTGCCATCCTGAAGCATGGTAACAGCAGGTGTCCCGCCGGTCTGGCTCGGCCCCCACAGGGGCAGAGCGCGCAAAGTACCGAGTCTCTTGCGCAGAGAGCTGCCGTGCTGCTGGTGCGTGGCTCCAGCCTCCAGCTGTCTGCACATCCCGGTGCTTTCCGCGGAGACCGATGGCCTCACTGGGCCCTGACCTCCAGGGTGTCCGCCAGCTGCTCAGGAAAGGGGCTGATGTGCTGCAGGGTGTTGTAGTTGGGTGGGGGAGTTTGGGGTGGCGGCAGCCGCATGGCTGTGTTGAAGGTGGGCGGGTCATCATCATCTGGGGAGCAGGCGGAGTTGTGGTATCCTTGATCTGCACTGCTTGGGGGGAGCCCATCGGCCCCTTCCTGGTCTTGCTCACCCGGCTGCCCCTTCCACCACCTTTTGGCCTTCTGCCACTGCTGGCGCAGGACGATGCAGAGCGTGTCGAGGAAGAAGACCTCCACGATCTCGATGACACAGACCACCGAGCAACTCATCCACAGGCCCAGCTGGCCCCCGAAGTTAGACAGGAGGAGAACAATCTGGGATGGAGGGATGGGAGTGTCATGCCCCATGGCCACCGGAGGGGGGACTGCTAAGGTCCTGGCTGAGAAAGCAGGGACAAACTTGCCCCTAACTCTGTGAAGACGGTCCAGGTGGTGCCAAGACACCTGGTCCTGGTCCCACTCCCCACAGCTAGAAGATGCACGTTGGTCAGAGGGAAGGGAGGCCAGTTTGAGGGGGGGCACCCTAGATTGCACTGCACTGGGCACAATCCAAAAACGATGCCCTCCCCTGCCTCTTTCAAGAAAGGCCAGCCGGAAGGGGTGGGGGTCTGGGCATCAGTTCTCCAAGGGATCCAGGTTCTGGGGGGATTTGGGTCCTTCAAAACGCAGTGGCCCAGAACTTAGTCAAAGGGGAAACTTACATTGTTGGCTGGATTTTCGGTGATGAACCTCTCATTCAGATCTTTGTAGAACACCACGAGATTTGCCAGGTCTGT